TCTCATCCAAAGCATAGAAGCAAGGCAAAAACCATTTCACTTGTTTTCTTACCTCTACTTATCACCTGACAAATCCAATACCTGAAGATCATCCTGCCCAGGAAAGCGTTTCTCTAATTTGGCCTTTGGGACTCTAAGAAATACCAAAAAGAGAGAAAGACTATGTCTCTAATATAGCTGATCCTCAGATCTTCTACATCAGCAATACAACTAGTATGGTCCAGAGACCCTGGGGACCAAACTAACTTTCAGGGCTTTGTGAGGTCAAAATTATTTTCATAATACCACTAAGATATTATTTGTCCTTTCACTTTCACTCTCTCACAAATGTGCAGTAGAGTTTCCTGGGATTACATCACTTTGAGGACTTAGGTGCACCTGATTCAAACCATGGTATTTTCAATTATCTCAGGCATGCAAAAGCTGAAAAATAAATAAGGAAGACTGAAGGAAAATTGATGCCTTGGAATTATGGTGCTGGTGAAGAATATTGAATACACTGTGGACTGCTAGAACAAACAAATCTGTCTTGGAAGAAGTATAGCCAGAATGCTCCTCAGAAGTGAAGATGGTGAGATTTTATTTCACATACTTTGGATATGTTATCAGCAGAGCTTTGAATTGGTTCATTCCAGTTCAGCCCTCTGCGGAAAATTTTCACTTCTACCCTAGATCTACTGAATCAGAATCTACATTCTAACAATAAGAATTACCTTGGAATCTATAAGATCTCAAAATGCTTTTTCAAGTTTAAAAACTATGAATGTGTTCTATCACATTTCATCAAATCTAAGATCCACTGATGTTAAGATATACCACTATTTCATGAACAACTAAGAACGAAAACTCACTACACCATCAATTTTAAGATGTATCCTGATTTCAGAGATGTCAAAATTTGAAAAACTGTGCACCTTAAAATCAATGAAATAAAGTAATATAGAAAGTATCTGCACTACTCTTCACTCATCAAAGCTATACATTCTGGAGGAATTAAAGTCCCCAGGATCCTAAAAGTAGATTAAGGTCACCCACATAATGGCAATTAAATATTAAGCTTTCATATGCTTTTAGACTTATTTCTACCAAAGGTACATAGTTATTTAACCAAACAAAAAACCTTCTTGTCCATTCCGACTCACAGCAACATTACAGGACAGTAGAACTGCCTGATAGGGCTTCCAAGGCTATAATCTTCATGGACGATGTTTCACTGCTATTCCTAAGGTTTTCAGTGGCCAATTTTTTCAGAAGTGGACAGTCCCATCCTTCTTCCCAGTCTGTCTTAGTCTGGAAGTTCTGCTAAAACCTGTCCACCATGGGTGACACTGCTGATATTTTAAATACCTGTGGTGTAGCTTTTAATCTCACACCAACACACAAGCTACCACTGTATGACAAACTGACAGATCAGTAGTAACAGATGAGCAGTACAGTGACAGGGAACTGCCAGAAATGCAAGCAAGACTCATGCAATGGATATCATTGCTGATGTCAAATGGATCTTGGCTGAAAGCAAAGAATACCAGAAAGACATTTACCTGTGTTTCATTGGCTATGCAAAGGTATTCAACTGTGTAGATCATAACAAATTATGGATAACACTGCAAAGAATGGGAATTCCAGAACTCTTAATTGTGCTCATGAGGAACATGTACATTGATCAAAAGGCAGTTGTTCAAAAAGAACAAGGGGAAACTGCACAGTTTAAAATCAGGAAGGGTGTACAACAGGGTTGTATCCTTTTACCATACTTATTCAATCTGTATGCTCAGCAAATCATCCAAGAAGCTGGACTACATGAAGAAAAAGGTGGCATCAGGATTGGAGGAAGATTCATTAACAACCTGCAATATGCAGATAATTCAACCTTGCTTGCTAAAAGTAAAGATGAGTCAAAGCACTTAGTGATGAATATAAAAAACTACAGTCTCCAGTATGGATTACACCTTAACATAAAGAAAACAAAAATCCTCACAACTGGACCAATAAGAAACATCACAATAAATGGATGAAAGATTGAAGTTGCCAAAGGTATCATTTTACTTGGATCCACAATCAACACCCATGGAAGCACCAGTCAAGAAATCAGATGACATATTACACTGGGAAAATCTGCTGGAAAAGATCTCTTTAAGGTGTTAAAGCACAAAGATGTCTCATTGATGACAAAGGTGCACCTAACCCAAGCCATAGATTTCAACAGCCTCGTATGCATGTGAAAGCTGGACAATGAATAAAGAAGACAAAAGAAGTGATACATTTGAATTATGGAGTTGGCAAAAAATATTGAATATACCAAAGACTACCAGAAGAATGGACGTATGTCTTGGAAGAAGTACAGCCAGCATGTTCCTTAGAAGCAAAAACACCAAGACTTCAGCTGATGTAGTTTGAACCCATTATTAGGAAGAATCAGTCCTTGGAGAAGGCTATCATGCTTGCTAAAGTAGAGTGTCAGGAAAAAAGAAGACGACCCTCAATGAGATGGACTGACACAGTGGCTGCAACAATGGGTTCAAGTGCAATAAGGATTGTGAGGATGATGCAGGAATAGGCAGTGTTACATTCTGTTGCACTATGAGTGAGAGTCAACTCAACAATACCTAACAATAACAACAATCTCTACAGAAGCAGAACAAGTGCCACATCTTTCTCCTGCAGAGCATCTGATAGGTTTGAACTGCTGACCTTTCAGTTACAGTCAAGTGCTTAACCACCATGCCACCAGGGTTCCTAAATAAACCTTTCCACATTTAAACTTTAAAACCACATTAAAAGCATAAATAGAAACAACCATAAACATCTGAAAGTAGATGTATTCAAACTTCTACTTCATTACTAGTATACCCTTTTCTTAGACTGACTAATGAGAATTAGTTATCATTGTTAAGAAATTAAAGTTTATCTTAGGAAAGCAGAATTAAAATCTTTAGGAGCCATGAAAAAAGTTAGAATGTATAGTCTGCTCTTTGCAGACTGCCTCTTTGGGATGTATGCAGGTTCGTTCATACACGGTTGCTGATCACATGCTCACCAACCAAATGCACCTGGTCCTGGGTGAGCTTTCCAATCAATGATGTTTAAAGCAGAAGTCGCAAAGTGAAGAACAGCACTGAGATGACTATAGGCAGGACACTGAGTGACAAGGAATCACAGAGTGATTTTAATTCTGTCTCATTCCTCTGATTAGTTCAAAGAGAAAGTTTATCGCTTTGACATCTCACTAACACTCCAGGAGAGAGGCCTCAGGTAGCCTTAGACTGGCCAAAAAATCCAGCTATAATTTAAAAGCATTGTTTTATTTTTAGGGCTCTTATTTTTATACTTACATTCTATTCATGGAAAATGACATGAGTTTCTACTTACCATGGCGGTGTGAAGTTTCTCTTTAAAATAAATGTACTTAAATAAAAAAATGAGCTGATTTAAATAACAAGATTAAGTAATTAATAATTCAGGTGATATACAACTATGATCAAAAAACAACAGTTTAATGCTTATACTACACAAAAGCTAGAGAGTAATTAATGCCTTTCAGTAGAAGTATTTTTTTAAAAAAGTCTCAGCTGAGTCCTCTCAGAACATACCCTACAAATGAACAAATGAAACAACAGAACAGCTCTATTAAAATCTGGCAATATCCTTAAAAACAGGCAATTTAAATCCAATTTCTTCCAGAAGATAAATGTCCTACATAAAACAGTGATCAGAGATCATGAAAACATTCTAAGATCTAATTTTAGCAGTTTTTTTTTCCTTTTCTTGTTCCTTATAAATAGAATATATTAAGTTCCATAAATAGCGCTAAATCATTGAACTAAGACAACAGATTTCCTCTCCTTATGAAAAAGAACCAGTTATACTGCCAATTCTTTCCTTTGCACCACCAAATAACTCAAGAACTAAAATAGCCCCTTTTGTGAAAATGTCCTGCATCTATTGTTTTCCTCAGAGCCAGTCTCTTGGAAGGTTGTCCACTCCCTTCAACCTCCCTCTCTGTGCCCTTGTCATAACAGCAAAACTGTGGTTTCTCACTCTCCATGGAAATAGGTTGCAGCAGGGAGCTCAGCATGAGGACAGGTCTGAATACCCTGCTCAGACACAGACAGAGCCTTCATGATGTGACCCAATCATGCAATATTAGGAATCTCACATAGGACTTCAGATGGCAAACATCAGAATCTCAAACAAAATTCTCCAATGAAGTAGCAAACTCACCATTCCCTAAAACCAACAAAAATCTTGTTACACACATATGGACCTTTCACTAAAACATATGGGGCTCAATGTCTGTGCACTTGGTATCTCTAAGTCAGATGAACTAAAGCAGCCATGGTGGAGGAGAACTCAATAGCAAAACAAAAGTACTATTATGAAAAGTTGGCAGTTCAAACCCAGCAGCCACTCCTCAGAAGGAAGACTGGGCAACCTACTTCCATAGAGATACCACCGTGGAAACCCAAAGAGGGGTTGCTATGAGTCAGGATCAACTCGACAGCAGTGCGTCTGGTGTTTGATTATGAAAAGTAATCAATAAATAAACCAAATGTGTACTGATATGCATAGACTTTGCTACACACTGTGAATAAGAGCAAAAAGTACAAAATGGTTTTTCTACTTCCAAAGTTGTTGTTGCTGTGGAGTCAGTTCTGACTTATGGCAACCCCACGTGTGCAGAGCAGAACTGATCCATAGGGTTTTCAAGGCTGTGACGTTTCAGAACCAGATCACCAGGACTGTGTTCCGAGGTGTGCCTCTGGATGGGTTCAAACTGACAAACTTCCAGCTAGTAGTTCTACTTTGATTTTTCATTTAAAACTTTTTTAATTTAAAAAACAAAATAGAAAAAAAAAACCATTTTGTGGAATTCAAAGATTTTTCATAAATAGCCACAATACTGTAATTCTCTAAAGTGGCCACCTTATTCTGTTTCAAATCTCATAGACTACATTCTTTATTTCTTCTATCAAGCATAAGATTTTAAAAATTTACATTACCTATTCCCTAGTAAAAAAGTCCAATGTTTCTCAATAAAAGCACAGATATCTTCTTTCCATCTGAAGTAACCTTGGCGTCCACTTCCTTCCAGAGACAAGTTATACATAGCCAACATGACAACCTGAAACACAAACAAAACAAGGGCTAGGAACATGGTGATTAGAGATGCTAATCTTTAGGGAGAAAGTTTGCTCTGTTTTATATTCTGAGTAGGATGATGCGGGTGAGGGGTGAGGGAATGATAATATCCTGGAATATTCTTGGTACAAAATTTCACTTAAACTAAATTATTAAACAGTTTAATGATTTAGCACTACTTATTGAACTTAATAGACTTCTCATTAATTCATTTAGTGATATGCAATTGTTTCTTCTGTGTTACGTTAGCAGGGTTGGTGTATAATTGAACTGGCTGTTACAACAGTTACCTCGGAACCAGCTCGTAAATAGCTACTGTCCTAAGCACTGTACCCTGACTATAACATCCCTACCCTTACCCTACAAAATCCAGAGCTAAATAGAGGGTTCAATACTGGCCTATTTTTATTAGGATTAAAACATGGTTCTGAGCCACCTGTATGGCTTTGTCCGTTTACATGAAACTGCATAAATTAAATATCTATGTACATACATGTGTGAAGAGAAATGTCTGAAAGGACAGTCAACAAAAATGTTAAAATATCATTTCTTGATGGTGAGATTTTAAATGCTTTTTACTTCCTTCTTTATTCTTTTCTGTTTTAATAAAGTTTTTTTTACAATAAGATGTGTTCCTTCTATTTTGGGAAACATATTGCTTGGGGCCATGAATTCCTCATCTGTAAAATAGCCAAATTGGCCTAGATTAGGACTTTCCAATCTGAGCTCTGGGTGTCTTGGGGCCCTGAGGCGGGGCTGATGGCCAGGCCCTTCAGAGCCCTGTCCCTCTTCTAACCCAATTTCATTGAACAAAGGTTTCCACAGCTAAGAGTGGTTGTGTCACAGAGGAGATGGTTTCCAATACTATTTTCAGCTCTGAAATTTTGAGTGTTTGGCTTCTGCCCCCTAAAGAGCTTCAAGAAATATATTTTCAGGGGTGATTTCTAAGCTATTTAATGAAGGGTAGCCTTATCATACAGAAACTGTTTGATACAGCAGACCTTTCAAAGGCAGACTGCCAGGCTGTTTTCTGAGGTGCCTCTGGGTAGGTTCTAACTGCCAATCTTTTGGCTAGGAGTGCTTAATTGTTTGAGCCACTCAGGGACCTCCCATAAGAATTACTGCCAAGAAAACCCTATGGAGCAGTTCTACTCTGTAACACATGGGGTAGTCGTGAGTCAAAATTAACTCAATGGCAATGAGTTTGGGTTTTTAGGTTTATCTTTACCAAACTTTTGATAAAATTTCCACTGCATATTAAACTATTGTTCATAAGAGTCACCAACGGGAAAGAGAAAACATATAAAGGGGTCACGAAAGGAAGGGGCCATTTATTTAGGAGACCAGATGTCTTTTTGCATAACTGTTTACATTACAAGCATTTCAACTTATTTACTTTGGTAAATCAGCAAATACCAAGTTTAATATTTGAAAGAGGCAGCCCATATTGCAATGGACTAAGTATTTGGAGAGGTCAACAGAGTCTACTCAAAACTAATAGATTCTCTTTCAGGTCTTCACTGAGGCTTTGTTTCAGATGCAATTAGAAATGCTGGTTAGTAGTTTAGTGAAAATTAGATGTGTCTAATCTAAGATGTCATGTAAAATTCATCATACCACAATATTATCCACTACCAATATGTCTTTCGGAAGTGAAAAAATAAATTTCAATTGATGTCAGTCTAATTAAATATGCAAAATGAGCCAATATTCTATATTCTGAGCAAGATAATCAAGTCAATTTTTCATTTAAAAAGCACCTCCATAAGAGATTAAGACACATGTCAACATCACCTGCAAATCAATCTAGATACACAGGAATCAAAATAAATAAATAAATAAACCTACAAGACAGAAAATAGTGAACCAGAGATGCCAATTTGTAAACAATGATAACAAAGACAAAAGAAAGAATAAATAATGGAGTTACAGAACTTCAAGTAGAGAGGAAGTCAAGAAAATACTGAGAAAGAACAGACTACTTTAAACTTGGGAAGATAATGATAAATTACAGTGTAACCTCAAGGAAAATTAATAAACATTTACAACAAAATAAAAAAGAAGCAAATCATAATGTCTAAGTAAACACTAAAACAATAGCAATGAAGGAAATGATAAGAAAATCCAAAAACAAAATGAGCTCAGCCCAGAAAAATATACAGAAAACAGAAACCATATACACCATACCCCAAAATACAGAATGGCAGCAGTAAATTCATGCCAATAATTACATTGAATATAAATGGATTAAATGCACCAGTCAAGAGACAGAGAGTAGCAGCCAAGTGGATAAGAAAGTATCACCCATCAATACGCTGTCTACAAGAGATACACCTTAAACACAAAAACAAGAATAAGTTAAAAATCAAAGAATGGGAAAATATATATAAGCAAATGGCAACCAAAAAAACAGTGCGAGTGGCAATATTAATTTCTTATAAAATAGACTTCAAGACAAAAATCAGCAGAAAGAGAAAAGGACATTATATAGTGATTAAAGGGTCACTCAAACAAGAGAACATAACTATAATAAATATCTATGCACCCAATAAAAGAGGCCCAAAGTACATAAATAAAATCTTAACATAATTGAAAAGAGAAATAGACAACCCCACAATAATAGTAGGAGACTTGACTATACTACTTTAATGAAGGACAGGGCAACTAGAAAGGAGCTTACAAAGATACAGAAGAGCTAAAAAACACAAGCAACCAGCTAGACCTCATAAATGTACACAGAACACACCATCCAAAAATTGTTGTTGTTATATGCCCTCAAGTCGGGGCCAACTCATAGCGACCCCTCCTTGGGTTTCTGAGGCGGTATCACTACGGAAATAGACTGCCCAACCTTCCTTCCCAGGATTGGCTGGTGGGTTTGAACCACCAGCCTTCCATCCAAAAATAGCACAATACATATTCTTTTCCAGTGTACATGGAACTTTCTCCAGAACAGACCATATGTTAGGCCACAAAGCATGCCTCACTAAGTTTAAAAACACTAAAATACTATAAAGCATCTTCTCAAATAATAATGTTATAAAGTTAGATACCAACAACAGGAAGACCAAAGATAACAAATCAAATATATGGAAACTGAGTAACACCCTGCTTAAAAATACTAGGTAATGGAAGAAATAAAAAATGAAATAGAAATATTCCTTGAATCAAACAAGAATCACAACATCCAAATCTTTGGTACACAGCAAAAGCAGTGCTCAGAGGGCAATTTACAATAAGAGATGCACATATCAAAAACAAAGAAAGAATCAAAATGAACACCTTAACACAATATATCCAACTACTGTAAAAAGAAAAACAACAAAACCCTACAGTTACCAAAAGAAAGGAAATAATAAAGATTTGAGCAGAAATAAATTAAACAGAAAAACAACAGAAAGAATCACAAGATTAGAAGTGGTTTTTTGAAAGGACCAATAAAACTGACAAACCATTGGCAAATTTTATAAAGGGAAAGATACTTCTGGCAAGATGGCAGAATAGGCAGACAAACTACACTGACCCTCTGCAACAAAGAAAGAAGAACCAATCGAAACAGCTAAAGAAGATACTCCTGGAACCTGGAGCTTTGTAGGGAAGGGTAAAGAAATGGATTACATACCAACCAGTAGAAGAATCTGAATGAAAACAGTGAATAACAGAGCTGCAACCCGTTGGCTGTCCGGATGGCATGGCCAATTTCAGTATTTACAAGTGGCATTCTGATATGGGCAGCAACCTAAGAATTAGCTCTGCTTGCCAAGGACCGCATGGGTGTAGTGATTAAGCTTGTGTGTCAAGTTGGCTGGGCCTGGTTGAGTAGCTGGGCAGCTGAATGTAGTTATTCCCCATAGTGAGAATGTTAATTAACTCTATGGTGGAATCTATTGGAGCAGCTGAGTCGCTGCTCTGGGTATGCGGTCTGCTTCCCATATACAACAAACAGCCTTGGGAATGGTCTCCAGCTTATGGCACATTTGAACCCTGCAATTAGCCATGTCATTGTTGAGCAGCCTTCCATGCTTTGCCAATCTTGGGACTTTCAATGGACTTGAATTAATGGCCTGCTGCATGGTTTGGTAATATCGGGACTGTGCTTGTTACTTGTCAACCTTGGGCTTGTTAGCCTCAGCAGCCAGCAGCTGAGTGAAGAAAAGCCTCCACCTTCAGTGGGCCGGGAGCAAGAAGCAGAGCTGAAGCCTAAGGTTGAGGGGCTTTCACCCAGCCCCTAGAGCCTGGCACTCTGAACTTGGACTTAAAGCCTCCAAACTGTAAAAGAATAAACTCCTGTTTCTTTAAGCCATTTGTGGTATATTCTTGTCAGAGTGGTACTACATAACCAGAAAAATGAGCAACTGCACTGCTGGCTGATGGAGAGAAAGGACAACAACAAATAAGGAGACAAACAGAACTGTGGACTGATGGCTGTCCTGAGGGCACAGTCATTTTGAATATTTGCAAGTGGTGATCATATCTGAACAGCAACTAAGAACTGGCTCTGTATGCCAAGGACTCACGGACAACCACACTGGAGACTGACAACGAGAAAAGTATGGTATTTCCCCCTTGTTACTCTTATACCCTATACCCTCTTGGTGAACAAAGGTGTGGCCATCCCCCACCTTCACCCACCTTCTGGACTAGCAGCAATTCTGTGTCCCTTGATATAGCCTGGATGCTTTACCCCCTCCAGTTTTATTAGTTTGTTTCTAAAGTATTCTTTTTTACTTCTTTTCATTATTGTTCTCTTTCCCTTCCCTGGTTCTTTTTTTTCCCCCTGGTTCTCTTAATTTTTCTTCTGTTTCTACAGATCCTTGGTTTTCTTTTTGAGGTTTTCTCATTTTTTTCTTTATTATTCTCATTCTCTTGTTCTTTCCCCTTATTCCCCATCCACAGATATTATGGGATTTTTTTCTCTTTACCTTTCTTTCTCTCTTCTTCTTCTTCTTCTTTTTTTTTTTTTAACAGTTCTTTTATTTCTTT